AAAAAAATAAAAGCCGAAGCTTCAACAATTTCCTCAAATCAATTGTTAAATGTGTGTTTACAACCTATGGGAAAAGTCGTATTTATAGCATTTTCTGGACAATCTAGATGAGTACAAACGTTTAAGATAATTTAATAAAATAATACCCTAAATAAAATTTTATCTAAATCTAGGATAATTACAAAGTAAAATAATTATTCTATCTCAAATAAATTAATTAAATAATCATAAATGATAGACTTATAATAAAATAATAATTAAAATAATCTAAAGTTTATTCCATGTGAATTTCATTCAAAACACGTGGAAATTAATTTAGGCATGTGAGATTTTAATTTAAAACATGGGTAATTTTAAAAGTGGTTCCCAAAAGCCTTTTAAAATTTTAAAATGATAAATTAAATAATTAAAAAGGGGAAGGGGTTGGCCGGGTTTGGGTTTCCCGAATGGGCTGGTATGGTCAGTCCGCACGGGTTGTGCTGGAAAAGGCCAACAAGAGTCACGGCCTGGTGGGTTTGGGTCAGTTGAGCCGTCCACATGCCCGTCCACGTGAGGGGTGCATGTTTGGTCCCTTGGGCTTGCGCGCCCGTGGTCAATTTTGCGCGTGCCTAGAGGGCTACATGCGTGGGCGCTCCCGAGAGCTCGTTCGCATGATCTATGCAGGCATGCGAGCTTGTTCGTGGGTCGTGTAGGTTAGGCTACTTGTTCCGCGTGCGTGTGGGCCTCCTCGTCGAGCATGGACTTTTTTACAATCTTTCAAGCCCATTAATCTTACTTGGGCCTTAAGCATCCTAGCTTGGACAAACTTGGCCCATCTCTTAGAATAATCCTAATTAGGAAAGCGTTCAGGGATGAAATTACTCTTCTATTCTAGGCATTCCTCATTGATGCAAGGTTGTATCTTTGTAACTAATTTTAGGTTGTCTAGGATCACATCATCTCCCCCTTCTTCAAAAAGATTCATCCTTGAATCTGAGCCTTCATCACAAGAGAAAAGATTAGTGATTACAGTAGGAAACACGTCATATCTCCCTAGCGTGTTTGCTTTGTTGTTGATGCATGTCATGGCTTAATTCATAATTCCTCTGGGATATGGATCAAATCTTTATAGCCTACTTGCCATGGTAGTTATCTATAAGAAGAAAATAGTACAATTATGTAAAGAGTGGTTAAGGTCAAAATGAATCTCCCTGTAGGTAAGTACAATCCAACTTCCCTTTTTCATAAGAGATACTCCTTAACATTTTGTCCTTATCATCAAAACACTCCCTTATTTTCTCTCTTTGTTTTTCTCATAATGGACTATTTTTAGTTGTTTGGTGGGCAGCCTTTATGCTCATTGGGCCATTGACTTTCTTTGAGGCCTTCCTTTTCTCTTTTACCCTTCTTGAGTATTCATCAAAGGACTGTTTAATTTTGACTTGATCTTCATGTGCCTATTTTGGTGATAAAGGTGTAAGGACATGCTTCAGACTGTCCTTTCACAATGAATATCGATTGGTGCGGCTGTAATGTTCTACATGTCCATCAAACTGCTAAGTGCTCCCAAGTATCAGATGATTGGCATGCATAGGTACAATATCACAACATACCTCGTCGTGATATTTTTCGATTGAGAACAGTACTATGACTTGTTCGATAACATGAACTTCACCACACTAATTCAACCACTGTAATCCGTAAAAATTTGGATGTTTGATGCATGTCAACCCTACTTTTTCTAGGAATAGAGTATTTGCCACATTAACACAACTACCACTATCAATGATCATTTCACATACCTTGTCATTGATAAGACATCGTGTGTGGAAAGTGTTCTCCCTCTACTTGTCTTCACTCATAACTTGCACGTTGAGAGCACTTCAGACAACAAGAACATTACTTTCTCATAATGGAAGTATGTCACTTTGTGGAAACATAGTGAATTTTTTGCAAGGTAAAGGTTAATGAAAGAAAATCTCTCCCTCACCTTCACTCATGTTTACCTTGCAATCTCTCAGTTAATAGCTTCATCTGTCGAGTTGAGCATTCGAATTTGGAATCACTTGAATCGAGTCTACGCATTAGTCTTTATGAACAACAAGGAACCCTAAAAGATTCTGATTTCTACTATAACTCAAAATTAAACACACAGAAAAATGAATGGTGTGCCCTTTGTGTGTGTAAGCAACTAGTAATAAGTAGTCACTTAATTATGTAAAGAAACAAATGTAAAATAAAAAAAAACATAAATGTAGATCACAAAGAATGACAATTCGAACTAACGCGTACGGATCCGATCAATACCAATGGATATAATCGGCAATTGTATCTACTTATATTAATCCCAATTTGTCAGCTACGCTCTATGACTGGTCAAGTTTCTTTATGCAACATTGATGCAGATTCTAAAAATACAATTCAAAAATTAAATGCGGATAGTGTGCGGAATAAAAACAAAAGTTTTTATTCTCACCAGTTAGGCAACGTATTTTGCCTTTGATTTCTCAAAGGATTTTCGGTCACCAATTAGGTGGCTATTTTGCTTTTATGATGCAAAATGCAAACAATGTGTCAATTGCCTTATGGGGAAAAACTGAGGTATTTTTGGTAGTTTTGATATATATATATATTTTTTCTTTTAAATAATAAACACGAATTACTTGAATTGAACAGATAAATATGAATTCAAGTAGGATGTAATATAAATTAACAATCAAATAAATTTGAATGCTAATTTAAGAACAAAATGCTAAAAGCAAATAAAGATATATTTGGGTTTCTAGGAGCCTAAGCTCTAATACTAGATGACACGGGAGGGTATGGGAAGAATTGAATCAACTCCTAAAACCCACTCAACGTATGCAATACCGAAACTATAACCACCTAGAATAAACTCCTCCCTCTAATTGAATCTACAATTCTAAAAGAAATACAAAAAAAACTAGAAAAAATAAACAAGAAAAAGAAAAATGCCACGGACTTACAAATAAGTTGATCCCCGCTCCTTGGCTCAACATGACTTCTGAAGAATCTTACTTTTCAAAGAACTTGAAGAAGCTAATTTTACAAAAAATACTAAAAAGAAGAAAAGTTGAAGCTTTCAAGAATTCTCTCAAATCGATTGTCAAATGTGTGTTTACAACCTACAGGCAAAGGCCTATTTATGTCTTTCTTGGGCAATCTAGATGAGTATAGACTCATAAGATAATTTAATAAAATAATACCTTAGATAAAATTCTATCTAAATCTAGGATAATTACATAATAAAATAATTATTCTATCCAAAAAAATTAATTAAATAATCTTAAGGGATAAACTTATAATTAAATAATAATTAAAATAATGTAATGTTTATCCCATGTGAATTCCATGTAAAACACATATGAAAATTAATTTAAGTATGTCAGATTTTAATTTAAAACATGAATAATTTTAAAAGTGGGTCCCAAAAGCCTTTTAAATTTTAAAATAATAAAATAAATTAAATAATTAAAAAGGGGAAGGAATCGGCCGAGTATGAGTCACCCAGATGGGCCACGCTTGCCAGTCCTGCAAGCTATACAGAAAAAGGCCCACGGGAGTCGCGGGCTGGTGGGCTTAGGCCAGTTGGGCCGTCCACGGGCCAATCCACGTGGGGTCCGTGCGTTCAGCCTTTTTTACCTGCTTGCACACAGTCAGTTCTACACGGGCTTAGAGGGTCACGTGCGTGGGCACTCCCGGGAGCTCCTCCTCGGACATGGGTCATGCAGGCTAGGCCACTTATTCGGCGCATGTGTGGGCCTCCTCCTCGGACATGGGCTTTCTTACAATTCTTTAAGCCCATTAATCTTACTTGGGCCTTAAGTCTTAGACAAAATTAGCCCATCTCTAGGAATAATCTCAATTAAGAAAGCGTTCAAGGATGAAATTACTCTCCTATTTTGGGTGTTCCTCTTTGATGCAAGGTTGCATCTTTGGAACTAATTCTAGGCTGTCTAGGATCACATCATTAAGTTTTCTTTAGTTAGGGAAATCATGAGATTTAAGAGACGAAAAAAACTGAGTCGTAGGTTCATTGGACCTTTCTAAATTCTAGAACGGATCGACAACACAGCTTATCATCTAACCCTTCCACCTCAGCTTTCTAGCGTTCTTGATATCATTCATGTCTCCATGCTTCAGAAGTATCATCATGATCCAGCTAATATCATCTCTTTTGAGTAGTTGGTACTGTAATCAAACTTGTCTTATGAGGAATATCTAGTATGTATTCTTGATAGACAAGAGAGGGTAATACAATCCTGAAAGATTCCTATGGTTAAAGTACTCAAGTGTAACCACACCCCTGAAGAAGCAACTTGGGAGGTAGAGAGTGTTATGAGAGACATGTATTTTCGGTTATTTGGATAGTTTATTTTCTTAAAATTTGAGGACATATTTTTTTTTTTAGAGGGTGGTGAAATGTAACAACCTGAAACTTGTAATCCTTGTAAATTAATAAATAGGTATTTCTTCTATGTGTTTTAATTTATTTTATGTTTTAAATTTATTTTAAACAAAAAAAAAATGAAGAATTAGGTTTAGGGGAATTTGGTGCTAGTGGATTAGAGAAATTCCCAACCCATGAGTCCCTCCCTTTTTTTACCCTTAGATAAAGGTAATGGACAAACTTCCCCCACACTCTTATGGGGAATACCCTTGGGCAAGGGTAGAGGACAGACTTCCCAATGCTTTTGTGGGCTAAAAAATCCAAAACCCACAGGTGCACGTCGCTTAGGCCTTACCCTTGGGCAAGGCTTACGTTGGGTGTGTCAGCTTTGAACCTCAGTCTGACAATTTTCCTTCCTATTTGAGTGAAAATCTGAGTGCATTGTTGTAGGTAAATCCCTTCCAGCTGTCAAGATCTCATACCCCCTACTTCATGCATGTCAACCACTCATCCTCATCAAGGGTCGGGATGCATTTCATGTCATCCAACAATCCTTCTTGATGCAGAAAGCTCCCTTCGAAAGCCTTTCTTCCTTGTCTTCTTATTTTCTTCATCAAGAGAGAAAGAGAGAGAGAATAAAGAGAGTTGAGAGCTCCTTCTATAAGGATTCTGAGTGTGTGAGAGAGAGAGGGGGAAAAAATAGAGTGTGGAGCAAAGGTGCAGGAAAGAGGAAATCCAGTTTCTTCCCAGCTGAGGTAAGCTAACTCTTTATTCCTTTAGGCTATTCTCTTCATCCTTTATGCTTGCTAACTCTCCTTGAACAAAACCTAGCTTCTGATTCATTGCAGTAAGCCCCAAAATCCCAAAATCCTTACTGCAGTACCTGAATGATGTCTCCGTTTGGGTAAGTTTCTATTTTTCACTCAATCTCATTTCTATGTTTCATTCTTTTCCAAATGAAGGTTGTAGGTAAATCAATTTTTATGTTAGGACTCTTGAGGAATGAATCCTTGTAGCAAAATTTGCCTAAATTTCATAGATTATTCCCAAAATACATTCTAACTCTACTTTAATGTTCAAGCGAGTCCTTATTATTCATATGTGATTTTAGAACCATTTTCTCATCCATTTTAGATTTTACTTTGTGCATCAGTCGAAGAAGAGGGATACTACTTTAATTTACGCAAATATTGCACTTTTTACACGCATTTAGAAGGTAAGATTTGAAGAAAACCAGAAAATGTGTGGTTTTAATGAAAATAGAAGTGTGAGTGTGTGCATGCATCGATTTCTTTGATTTAATTCTTGGTTTAGTGAATGTATTTGAATCTAGAATGTTTACTGATGATGTATGATGTGTTTTTATTGATTTTAATGGATCATAGAAGAAAAAGTGGTAGAAAATCATGAAGAATTATTGGTATGAAGCCAATTACTTTCTGTTGTGCAGCCTCGACACCAAAGTGTCGGCATAAATGGGCTACAGGACATCTATTATGCGTGTGGACGCTATCCAATCTCCCACAAGTGCCAAGATATGTCCTCTGGCTCATTGTATATGTGCAGTATGCCGCACACGAGAGGAAAGACACTACTAGGCACCCCCAGTATGCTGAAAGCGTTCTATCGCAAGCACCATGCATGTCGTGCCTGCAATGTGCACAGGGGCACCTACCTTGGTGCTAAGTCATGCCCAAGGCTTATGCCCGAAAGGACACATTGTTGTACAGTAGTCTATGGGCTGTGCGGGTCAACAAGAGTACATGCGCCGAGGGTCTATACAGGCCAATACGTGTTCAAGCTTTTAGCCTAAGGCAAGGCTTAGGGGAAAATCCCCCATGAGGTGCAATTTCAGAAATTGTAAAATTCATTAATTTCAAATTTATTTCATGAATGAAAATGGATAAAATTTATAAAGAAAGAAAAAAATAGAAAAAATTTTAATTTGGGATTGATATAAAAAAATTAAGTTAATTTGAGAAATTGGTGAATATAACTTAATTTAGAAATCCTAAAGAAATGAAAATTTCGGGAATTTAAATAAATAACCTTTAAATTGATATAGGTAAATGGATTGATTAGGGGACCTAGACTTTTATACGAACTAGGAGTATATTAAACTCGGGACCCAATATTTTACGCTTAGAAGCAACCCCTTGGAAAACTAAATCAGATTTACCAAGTTTTTGACCTAATTCAATTCGTGAAAGAGAACTTTGAAATAAATTTACAATCGAAATTCAACCCTTGAATAGAACCTTCAAATAAACTACTCACAAAGTAATTAGCTTTGCTCGTAGGAACCTTGATTGAAACAATATCAGAACAAGAGAAAAACCTCTCTTAAAAAACTTTACAATAAGCAAATTCATATATCAACTTCTATTTATAAAAGAGAATACTACCTATTTATAAATGGAACAACCCTCCAAGATATGTTTTAAGACTTCTAAGAGTCACAACTCTTTCTATTTAATAAGGAAAAGCAAAATTCTAGATACAATAAATGAAGACAAGTAGATACAATGTATTTAAGTTAGAATTTGTTCTAAAAATTGTGAGCCAATTATCTATCTGATAAAACCGGATTTGATTAGGTTTCTCCATTAAAGTTGTAGGCCCAAATGTGTAGATAAGTTTAGACTTTTGAATCACCTAATTTGGACATCAGAAGCCCAAGTTATGGCCAATCTAAGCAAACTGGTTCAATTTCATGTTGGGCTGGTGTAACTTCCACTTGAGTTAATATGACTAAGTTTTGATTTATGTTATTCAATCCAAGCCCAATACATGCTTCTTTGTTGCATTCTTGAACTTTGTCAATGTCATTCCACAAGTCTTGAATCAACCCATTTAATGCATCCTTGAATTTTTTCAACCTCACTCTTGTAATCGAACCATTAGGTAGCTAAATTGGATCCATGTTCTTATATCCTGCCTTATTCGCATCATTCCCTCCCTCCTCAAGTTGATTCGTTCGTGAATCTCCAACATCTACATTAAAAAGAGAAAAATCAGCCACATTAAAAGTAGCACTCACATTATGCTCACTAGGAATATCCAACTTATAGGCATTGTCATTGATCTTCTCAATGACTTGAAATGGTCAATCGCCTCTAGGATGCAGTTTTGATTTCCATTGAGTAGGAAACCTTTCCTTGCACATGTGTACCCAAACCCAATCACAAGGTGTGAATCTCACTTGCCTGTTTCCCTTGTTTACTTAGCTTGCAATTTGTTAATTCCTCTTCTCTATGTTTTTACGCACATCTTCATATAGCTTCTTTACTAAATCTGTCTTTTTCTTTCTATCTAAACTAGTTCTTTCATTACATGGTAGAGTAACTGAATCTAAAGGAGTTGAAGGATTAAAACCATAAACAACTTCAAATGGTGAATAACCAGTAGTAGAATTCACAACTCTATTATATGCGAACTCAACAAATGAATGCACTCTTCCCAATTCTTCAAATTCTTTTGGACAATAGTACACAACAAAGTTCCTAGAGTTCTATTCACAACTTCTGTTTGACCATCAGTTTATGGATGACAAGTAGTAGAAAACAACAACCTAGTTCCTAATTTACTCCACAAAACTTTCCAAAAATGACTTAGAAACTTTGCATCCCTATCACTTACAATTGTTTTTGGAATGCCATGCAAACGTACTACTTTCCTAAAAAACATATTTGCAATGTTAGTGGCATCATCAGTTTTATTACAATGTAAGAAAAGCGACATCAACCACTATGAAAATTGAATCTTTTCCTTTCCTTGATCTAGGGAAACCCAAAACAAAATTCATTAAAATATCAATCCAAGGTTCACAAGAAATAGGTAAAGGTGTATATAATTCTTGATCCAAAACTTTTGATTTTACTTGTTTGCACACAACACATCTATCACAAATTCTTTGCACATCTTTCCTCATTTTAGGCCAATAGAAATATTCCTTTAAAGTATCTAAAGTTTTTAAAATACCGAAATGTCCCATTAAACCTCCCCCATGAGATTCTTTAATAAGCAACATTCACATAGAACAAATAGGTATGCATAACTTATTCTCTTTAAATAAAAACACATCCATTCTATAGAACTTACCAAATGCAACTTTCTCACATGCCTTAAAAATGCTAGAAAAATCAGAATCATTTTCGTAAAGAGATTTAACATGTTTAAAACCAAGCATTCGAGCATCTAAAGCATTGAGTAAAGCATACCTTCTTGAAAGTGCATCTGCCATAACATTCTCTTTGCCTTGCTTATACTTAATCACGTAAGGAAATGTTTCAATGAACTCAACCCATTTAGCATGTCTCTTATTCAACTTACCTTGCCCCTTTAAGAACTTTAATTATTGATGATCATGAATGACAAATTCTTTAGGCCTTAGGTAATGCTACCAATTCTCCAAAGCTCGAACCAAAGCATAAAGTTCCTTGTCATAGGTAGAATAGTTCAATGAAGTGCCATAGAGCTTTTCACTAAAGAAGGCAATTGGTCTTTTTCCTTACATAAGAACAGCCCCAACACCAACACCTAAAGCATCACACTCAATTTTAAAAGTATTAGCAAAGTTAGGCAAAGCAAGAATAGGTGTCGGCTAGCTCTTAATAGCACTTACCTTCTTTTCATCAACTTCAACACCTTGCTTACTAACAACAAAACTTGAAAACACAATTCGATCTAAACAAAAATAACAATTCTCAAAATTAGCATACAACCTCGCTTTTCTCACGGTAACTAAAACACTCCTCAAATGTTTTAAATGTTCATTCAAATCTCTAGAATACACTTCCTTGTTTACCTAACTCATCATTAGAAAAGGAAACTATTTATTTGAATATTAAAATAGTACGTTAGCATAGAAAATCAAATATACATATAACATACCAAATAATAGAGAAAAATAAATAAATCATAAAATCCACAGATATTTCTTATCATGCTTCGCGAAGTCGTTACAAACTTCCATCTCTAAAGGCAAATACAGATTCCAACAACCCAAGCAGAATGATCAGATCAAATACAAATACGATCTATGGTATGATCTATGACCATGGTCGTACCAACTATATTGGTCTTAACAGATATCTATAGTCATGATATTACTTAACCACAAGTGATCCCAACAGATAGTGCAATACCATTCTTGTTAAAGGGCATGTCGTCATCCACTAGGAGCGGTTCTCTTATGTCTTTCCAGACTAAATATGAGAGAAAAAAATAGATACCTCGAAGAGTAAGGGGAACAGATATCCCTCATATATAAAAATCCCAACGAGACACTTAATGCAATATTTATGTCAATACAAATATATTTCAGACCATAAGGCTTCATTCCACTTTTTTCTTTTTCAATTCTTTTTACTTTTGTTATTACGGACTACATATTACATATATTACATATAAATTCATCAAGTATCAGCAATTCACATAGCATGCTTGAAAATCAAAACAATTCAACTCCTTAAGACGTCAAAAATGATACTAGATTACTTATCAAAACCTTGATATTTTTTTCTTCATCGTTTTCCTTTCTTTCTCTTCTTCTCTCACTAATTTACTATCTCTCTCTCTCTCTAAACCTTTGACAAATGGAAGAAATAGAAGTGTGGAGAGGAAGAGAAGGGGAAGCGCAATTTATAGAATTTAAGAACCGTTGGATTCATGCAAAGTGGTGAAATTCGGTGAAGAGAGAGGAGAAAAGATTCTCGAAATGAAAAACGAGAGAAAAAATTTTCCTCACCGATGGCAGCGACGCACTGCCCAAGGCAACGACAGTGCACTGCTTGAGGTGGCAATGCCCGACAGGCACGCTGCAAGCTAACTTGCTGGCGCACAGGCTTGTTGCCGCATGCGTAGGCGTAATGGGCGCCACGCGCGCAGACCTATTGCACACAGGTCCCAAGCGCATAGGGTCTGTCCACGAGGCCTACTACATAGACAGCATGTGCATAGTGTGCGGCACTAGTCTGTGCATGAAGTGATGCACAGACGGCCCACTTGCGTGCGACAGGACATGCACATAGATCAAAATTATGAATCTCAAAATGTTAAACAGTGTAAATCAATTTAAGTTTAAAGCAACCAAAAGCTCAAATAAATAGAGTTTATAAAGCATTTTAGTACAGTGATAGGCGGGGTGTTACATCCCTCCCACCTAAAAACATTTTGTCCCCAAATTTGTCTCGAATAAGTCTTAATACTTTTTCCTCATTTTGTCCTCTAATTCCCACATTACTTCTTCTAGAGTGTGATGCTGCGTACTTTCACCATGGGAATTATCTTGTTATGCAAGACCTTATCAGTCCACCCGAGAATTTCCACATGAGTCTCCTCATAGGTCATATCGACCTGTACCTGTACCTCACACGAGGGATAACATGAGAAGGATCAGGGTGGTACTTCTTGAGCATCGAGACATGAGACATCATGTAAACCTACAAACTCCCAGATAACGTGAGTCAGTAAGCCATAGGTCCAATGCACTTGACGATCGAAAAGGGTCCCACATAACAAGGGCTCAACTTCCCTCTCTTTCCAAACTGCATCTTGCCTTTGTAGGGGTAGAATTTAAGGAAAATTTAATCTCCCACAGCAAACTCCAAGGGTCGCTTATGATTATCGGTGTAGCTCTTTTGGTGACTTTGGGAAGTTGCCAAATTCTTATGGATGATTGCGACCTTCTTTATGGTCTCTTGAATGGAGTCTGGTCTTAAGTGACACTAGTTCCCGACTTCACTCCAGCAAGTAAGGGAATGACAAGGCCTTCCATACAAAGCCTTATATGGTGTCACACTGATGCTGGAATGGTAACCGTTATTATAAGAAAATTCACAAAGAGGAAGATACTCATACCAGTTATCACCAAAGTCGAGAATGCAAGCACGTAACA